TGTCTAATATCTTCTCTCCCCCTGATTTGTTTTAATCATTAAATAGAAGTGATATTTTCTTTGGAGCAGGGGATATTTTTCTCCTCTCTGCGAGACAAGGCTGTGAAGAGAGTTAATATCTTTTATTAAAGAAACTGATAAAGTTAGAACAAAAAAAAAAAGTTGACCTTTCAGGCATACAAGCTGGCAGCAGCAACAGTTTTATTGCATGTGCTTTCATGGAGAAGGCCTAAAACTAAAGAAGAGCCTCTGGAAAATACTATAAAAATGGGCAGGAATATAAACTGTATGTAATTCAAATAACATTTCTCATATCTAGGCTGCCACTCAAGAGTCTCTTTAGACTGGATCTTTTTATGGCAAAGAAACCTACCCAGCACTGATTATCACCTCAGAATAGCCAGAAATTCACTGCAAAACATAATCTTAGTATAAAAATAACATTTCCCCCCTACTATCTCAGCAGAAATTCTCAGAGACTTTACAATTTCATTTATATATATGTGTGTGTGCATGTATGTTATGGTTTAGAAGTGTCCCTTTTCTTTGTGATGCTCTGGTGTGCCATGGTAAGCTAAGCAATCTTACCAAACAGTGGATTAAAAGAGCCCCAAGTCTTAAGTTAAATTGGGATTTTTCTGATTGTTCTGTAGGAGTTTAGCACATTAAGATATGGGACCTAAAAGGCCAAGTTCTCTCCTCGAAGAAAAGCCAAAGCATTCTCAAAATAAGTAAGAAAAAAAAAAAAAAGAGGAACTTAAAAATCCCAATGAACTGCAACATTATGTACTCCAACAGCACTAAAGCAATAATCCACCTTCCTGCAGTGATTGCTGCAGCGATGACAGAGGCTGGAACTGAGAAGAAGGCAGAGGGGAAGAACAGGTGGAAATAGGAGAGATTCTAGTTGGCCCTTTTTGCAGCACAGTCCTCAAAATGCCATTGCTACTTTCCCTGATGCTTTTATGCTTGCAAATGTCAACTCCAAAACCAGACCAATCAGCCAACAGACAAAGGCCTGGCTGGAATCTTCCTCTTTTGGTGCTCCTCTTGTTTCAAAGCCCAGTGGATTTTGGCCTGTTTGATGCTTCATCCAAAGATCAGACAAGATCTTTGCTGGTCTGAGCAGGCAAGAGCAAGGAAAAGAAGAATGGCTGAGCCCTAACAGCTACTGAAAAAGGGAGAAACTGGGATAAAGCTCTGTATGATTTGAAGATTTTAAAGCTGCCCTGTTGTAATAAAACTTAGAGATCATCTCTTGTTTATTACAGGCTATGCAATGTCAAGCACTAGCACTAAAACTTTCAAAATGAGCTCCACGTGCTTACCATTTATAATCACTCACCTGAAGAGCACTCCAGCTTTCCACTGAGCTGAAAGAAGGAGCTTTGGTCCCTCCCTCTGTAAGCACTGATGTTTTCATTGCTCTTTCTGGTGCTGTTAATAATGCATTGCTAGGAGCTGTCCCATTGCTCTGGTTATTGGTCAGACAGTGAGCACCCACTCCTGACAACTGCTGTGGATTTGGACCTACCTTGGCACGGAGAGTGTGCTGGGCAAAGGACTTGACTGCTCTCACAAGGGCTCTTTGTTGACATGGGATGAAAGACAAAACAAAATGGTTTTTATAAAGTTAAGTACACAAATGGCAAAAGGAAAAATGGAAAAAAAATATCCAGGCAATGTATTTATTTACAGAGCATTGCAGATCAACCGAGGGAGCGGGAGGAACACTCGGTTTATAAAACAGCACTTCACATTCCTCCCATGCTGTGTGGCTTTCAGTCTCAGCCCCCTTCTCTTCCAAGCCTCCTCTTTCCTTTAGATTTGTATTGTGTGCTACATTCAGCCTTCTTTTGCCTGAAAATAATTTAAAATTGAACATTATAGCAAGAGGGTTTTTTCCTGCCCCTCACATCCATTACAGTTGTTCCAGCCCACATTAGCACAAACCATGAAAGCCAAAAATGGTTGAATAGGCCCAGAGCAGACCCCACAGGGATTAAGGTTGTGTCCTTAGATTCTGCTCAGGGGAGAAGACCTGTGCTAGCTCTCAACTATTTTTTATTAGGAGCTTTTTTGTTTTCACCAGTTAATACCAGGCAGAGCTTTCATCATTGGGCTTTGCTTTCTTTCAGTTTATGTAGGACATTGGCTTGACTGCACGACATCGTGGGGCTGGATGACAAATTACTGATTGCTTCTTTGCACCCTTTGCCTTGAGCTACAAGTAATGAAAGCAATGAAAAATTATGAACCCAGAGAAAATTCCTAGAATTAATCCAATACTTGTACAACTACTACACAAGCTTCCCAAGAGACAAGGGGTTTATGATATAGCACCATCAAATATGCTTGGTTTTATGAATTTGCAATACAAGGAGCCCCTAAGATGGGAGCAGACCTCAGGACTTACTCATCCTCTTTGCTCTGTTTTAAAGTCTTCATGGAGCTGATATTTTTGTTTATTACAAGCTATGCAATGTCAAGTAGCAGCACTAAAACTTTCAAAAATGAGCTCCACGTGCTTACCATTTATAATCACTCACCTGAAGATCACTCCAGCTTTCCACTGAGCTGAAAGAAGGAGCTTTGGTCCCTCCCTCTGTAAGCACTGATGTTTTCATTGCTCTTTCTGGTGCTGTTTTTTCAGGCACAAGCCTCCTTCCAGCCTGCTAGTCCCATTACCAATACTACACCTCGGTCTGCTTCCAGGAAATCAGCTCCATAGGGAATATTCTAATGCATGCTTTCTGTGGTGATTTATTCTCCAAGATGGCTCAGGTTTCAGATCAATTCCCAGGCCATGACAAATGCTTTCCAGGGTTCAGATGCTTGGTAACTTGACCTTGGAAAGGTTGTTCTCTTCCATCATTAGTAGCATCACTTGTGGGCTGCCAGAGCCACGTGTTTTATTTTTCCTGGATGCCTGAATGCACATTAGGCAGTGCCTGTTTTAGAAGGAGGAGAAACAAGAAAGCCATGGCCACACTTAGTGGGTGAGGATGCTGAAGTTCACCAAAATCAAAAGAAACACCTTTATTAACCTTGGCAGCATACAGATCCCACCCAGACTGATCAGTGGATTAAGTCACAATAGAAATAGGTCACACTAGAAATATTTGCTCAGGATCACGCTTGAAATCAGATTTCTCAATTCCCAATGTGTTACTTAGTACAAGCCCTCTTCCAACACTCACTTGAACTCTGATCACCCCAGTTTGGTTTCCCAATTTGTACAAGGTAAGAAATGACCGTCTCAACAAGAGGGGCACCTGGTCAGGGATATTCAGAGTCCCAAGAAATGTGTGGTATGAAAAGCAGCCAGTGCAACAAGATCTGAATAAGCTGTAGAATTTGGGAGCACAGTTATAAAATTACTTGGATTTTCTTTTTTTTTTTTTTGATTGTTAGGATAAAAGATTTCGTCACTCCAATCACGGTAACCAGAAGAGAAATTTTTAAGCTCATTTAGATCTTGATTGCTTCTGCTAAATAGCACATGAGTGATAACAATGTAGAACTTCTGCTGTGCTATGACCAGGGATCAGCAGGAAAAAAAGAAGAAGTAAAAAAAAAGTCAACACTGAAACGATTCAATGACACTGAAAAGATAAGTGGCACATGCTTATTTTTGTCTTAGAAAGACACTATAGATGAAAATGATAACCATTTAAACTGCAATAACACCAAGAACAGGAGTGAGTAACACCCACAGAGATAAGTGTCTGCAGCAATCTCCCCCAATTATAGGCCAGCTGCTCTCTTCAGCACATCTCCACAGAAGATTAAACCATAGGCTGGGAAGGAGAAGCAAGAAATCAGAGTTTAAATGTCCAGAGTGCATTGCTAACCAGTCACACCAGCCTGACTTTTGAAACAGTCTTTGAGGACTTGGAAAAGCAGAGTCTCCTGTAGCACAGATGGTTTGGGGGGGTTAATGTTTTGTTTCAAAGTGGTGTGTGTGAGCCACAGATCTGGGGGGCTGATGGTTTATGTGTGTTTAGAAATATCAGCAAATCACAAAAATAGTAACAGAAGTTGAGGCAGAGCAGAGGAGCTCTGATAAGACACTTGGGGCAAAGACTGAACTGAGAGCTGCCCTAGATGTTCCAACCCAGGAGGAGTGAAGGTCTCCAAGGAAATTCCCCAAAGGCTCGGGCTCGGGAACTGGAATTTCCACAAAGCAAGAACAGAAAATCCTGACTGCAATACTTAAATCTGCTGCCTTAAAAAATGAAAGACACTAACTAATACCACAGAAAATGAAATGAAGGAACTGTGACCTGAGGAATGACAGAAGGACTTTTCTCTTTTCTTCTTGAACTCTTATTGAAGAAAAAGAGACATTTAATCTAATGTAAATATATTATTTCATCGTAGAAGAGATAACTAAGTTGTTATCTCTCTATATATATGTATGTAAATAAACCTTTGTAAGTATTTTCCCCTTCCCCCCAATGCTGAGTAGTTGTGTTTTGGATGAAAACCCTCTCACACTGGGGCAAATTGTGGGAGGGGGGCTTAAACTTGGAATATNCTCACCAAGGAAAGCCCCATCCACAGGAGTTAGCACTGCTTTCTAAAACTGACACCAGGACAGTCACACTTACAGTGCCAGTTGGTTCATCTGAAGGGTTCTGTGCAGCTCCTCTCAGGATATTGTTCCATTTATGGCATTTTACAGTTGGTGATGGCCACTGAATAGTTCAAACCTATAAGGAAAAGGTATAGGTCATCCAGTCAGACAGAGAACTTGCATTTCCTAAATGACTAGAGATGGTGGCATCCCCCTAGTCCTGGGTATTAGTGATTGAAACACTGATTAACAAACACAGGGGGCACGTACAGAATTCCCTTGGCTGAGCTGGAGTCTGTGGGGTTGTTTGAACACCTTCCTCCAGCTCCCCACCACATGTGCTTCCCCTGCAACCCAACAGGAATGTGGGGTGGAAAGGAGGGCAGGAAACCCTCCTAAAGGGAACCCACTGGCAAGATGGGGTACAAGATAATCACAGGCATCATTCCCACTGTAAGTCAATCCCAATTTCCCAGACTCTCATGGGAACAGCAGTGAAAATTACTTCAGAAAAATAAAGTGTCACATAATACCTGTCTATTAATTTCAGCTTAAACAGTTGTGTCACATTTAGAATATCTCCAGTTTCTGATACAGTAAGTAATATCATTCACTAGCACTTGCCTGCTGTGTGCTTGTACACTTCAAGAATCTCATTTAACTTCAGTCCTTGCATTTTAGCTAGACTTTATTTAATCACTGTATTTATAAAATACACTATATTCCTGCAGAAAATAGATCCCTTTTTATTTTTTCTTTTCTTTTTTCTTTTTTGTGACCATACAACCTGTCTTCATTCCCACTCAGTCTCTCAGGGGAAAATTTGTATGGGATTACAGATTTCACCCTGGTTGCCATCACAGCATATTGGGCAGTTCTCTACCATCAGCTATCCTTGCTGACCAGCTTATAGTGTGTTTCTGGCACAAGGCAACTACTGTGCCCTTCCAGGAATTTCTCAGGCTGGGACAGTTGAGCAGAGCATGTATCTCCCAAATGCAAGCTCTATTTTCTACTTGAGAATCCCAAAAGCCACTGTGACAATTTAAACCAGTCCCATGAGATTTCACCCTGGTTGCCATCACAGCATATTGGGCAGTTCTCTACCATCAGCTATTCTTGCTGACCAGCTTATACTGTGTTTCTGGCACAAGGCAATTCCTTCCAGGAATTTCTCAGGCTGGGACAGTTGAGCAGAGTATGTATCTCCCAATGCAAGCTCTATTTTCTACTTGAGAATCCCCAAAGCCACTGTGACAATTTAAACCAGTCCCATGAGTTTTAACCATGGAGTTTTTTCCTTACTGTGTGGACAGATATAAGTATTCCAGCCACAGAAAATGCACTAGGTTTGATTTCAGCTCTGTTTTCAAAGTGGTGAACACATTGTATAAACAAGTCCTCAAAATGTTGGATGGGAGAGTGCCATGAACACAACACCCCACAAACTGGAGACATTTCAAGAGTGTTCACTGCTCCTGGTTCCCCTGTAGTGAATCAGCAAGAGTAAAGCACAGTAAGGAAATAAAGTGAAAGCAAAGTGCACTTCTAACTCCATTTCGAGGCAATTTTGCCTGGCTGAACCTCCCTCACCATGCTGGATTTCCACCACAGATCAGTGCTTTGTCATTTTGTCGCCGTTTGAAACGCTGTCATTTTATATTACACGATAGTCACAAAGAAAGCACCTGATGTGTCCAAATGATGAACCACCACCACCTCCTGCCAAAAAAAAAAATAAAGTGACAACACTTATTTTCTGCTGGATAAACCTCTTAATTTCTGTATTACAGAAGACTTCTTTCATAGCTGAAAAATGGCATGTTAGAAGCCCCAAGAACATTTGCAGTCTTGAAATGCTCCCCTTTCTGTGCTCTCCCATGCCCAAACAGGTTTAAAAATCTGATGGAAGCAGAAACTGCTGCGAGTTTTAATGTCTATATTTTTTCCAGCGTTGCTTCCAAGTCATTCATGGCTATTTAGCACTTACCTCAAAGAACTGTGCAAGGGCACCATCTGCAAAAACGGTACAGATTATACAGACTGTGCAAACAAACAGGTGTTTGTCTCATCATCCCACTGAACATTTGAGAGATGTCTGGAATAACAGCAGCCCATCATCTCTGGGAAAAAAATACACCACACTGCAAGCAGGCTTTGTCCCAGGGCCACTTTAAAGTGAGGAAAGAGGAATGTGTGCTCCAAGAGCAGGCAAAGA